AGGAGTTAAACAGTGGTACAGAGCCAGTCAGAGAGACACACAGGGTCAGAAAGGTACACAGAGAGCAGTTACACGCAAAGTGACACAGACAGGGAGACGTAGAGATGAAGGGAGAAAAACACAGGAGACTGTTACGTGAAGTGACTACGCTGTGGGTTGTAGTCGGAAATGGCTTATTAGACATTAGTCCTAGTCCCTCTTTGTTACAAGCAATTATGATTGGTCATTTTACTCCTTCCTCCTCTTCTTCCATGCATTCTTCTCCACTGTAGTCTTGTACCTCCTACCTTGTCTCCATCCTGCTTTCTCGGTACTCTTATCACTGCAGACTGACTCACCAGGTATACACACTACCCTGACAGGAGACAAATTGGGATAGACAAGAGACAGGCATACACAGACAGACACAAATAGACAGAGTAAGACAGTTACACAGACAGAAATATACAAATAGATATAGAAAGTATACACACATGCACAGAGAAAGAGAGAGAGACACTGAAATGCATAGGTTCACATGCATAGATACATGCACAGATAAACACCCATGCACACAGACACAGAGGTACACTGACAGGTGCACAGATACCAAGACACAGAGGGAGAGATGCACACACAGATATATACAAAAGAAGAGTAACATACAAAAGCTGACAGAGTGACAGAGAGTAAGATATACACACACATATACATACATACAGATGCACATACACGGCCACACAGAGGCAGAAGGCTCAGAGAAACACACGCCTGAACAACACAGGGACAGACACATACAGAGTCAGTCACACACATGGAAAACACAGAGAAAGAGGCACACCCATTGAAGAAGACACAGAGGCACACAGGTACACATGCGATGCCCAGAGACATGGCCTGAGATGCAGAGAGGATCAGACACAGAGTTTGAGATAAACACAAAGAAAAACTAAATGGGACACAGAAAGAGGCACAGACACAGAGACAAACAGAAATGCATAATGGGACACAGATACACACATATGGAAACAATCTGAGTCTCATTCAGAGATATATACACAGGCACAGATATATACAAAGATAAATGTACACCCAGATATACAGAGTGATGCAGAGGGTGAGAAATAAGCAGAAACAAACACGCTGTCACAGCCACACACACTGCCAAACACAAAGAGGCACAACACATAGAGACACAGGAACAGTGAGAGAGACAGGCACTTAAAAGCAAGGGAGGGGCACAGACACAGAGAGACACACTGACCCACAATGCATACAGGTTGTTGTGCATGCAGATGGACAGACACACAATGAGACAAGGCACGAACACACATACAGTGACACTCCATGAGTGAGACACACATGCACATACCGAGCGACAAAAAGGTCAGGGACATATATGTACTTTCCCAAGTAGTGTGATAATGTCATCTCCTGGTCCCTGGAGATAAGGAAAGTCTGAGATGTGGCTAATCCCCAAAGTCTCAAGTGATACAATGTACATACCTGTCCACAGACAAGACATAACCTGTAGATGCTGCATGCATGTTTTCCAGAATATTAGACAGTTTATGGTCTTTGATGCAGCTGAAGCCCAAGAATCAAGACTGTGTAATGCTGATAGAGTGCGATCATTTTGTCAACACAGTGAGTTTAGCTTTGTCAGCACACTGACACGAAAGTTCTTATGTTACTAGATGTACTGAATCTCTAAAAATTTCAAACTAATATGTGACTGCATGACTGAAAGTGGAGTTATAGACAGGCAAATTTAAAGTATTCAGAAGTGTGTTTTATTTATTTTACATACAATCTCTATCAGCTGCTGAGGTACTTTAGTGCTGTATGATATATGTTAGGGTGATTATATGTAATTATTTAAGAGGGATATGAGAGGAAGTGTTCGTGTCATATTTTAAGGCATTAACAGTGATATGCCTGAAGAGGTTGATGGAAGTCTTAGGATAGACAGTCACTGGCCTCAATTTCAATTTGGTACTTCCCAAATGCGGGTGAGATAGAAGTATGTTATCACTATACCACTTGCTTCAGTGACAAATTATGATTACATTAACTTTTGAAATGGTGGTAAGCTTGAGCTGGCAGGAGTGTATTTAAATGCCTGCTGTTACTCTGTGTTTAAATGTCCATTCCTGTTAGGGCACTTAAACAATTTTAAGCATTGTGTTTAAAAATGCTGTATCTAACACAATTTTTATGATAAATGAATGGAATTAACTTTGTTTGAATCAACAAGGAACATAGTGTCGCATATTCTAACGAGAGGTTTGAAAATTTTTATGCAAAGAGTTATACTCTATTTACAATTTTTTAATTTTAATTTTGATACGTACTGTAAAAATGGTTTCCTTGTTCTTCACAGAGTTGTTCTGCATTATAAATTCATTCCTGCTTGTAACACTTGACATATTTTAGCAGTCCCTGGTGTCATAAAAGAAATGGAAGCAATAAAGTCATTTGGTTCTCTGCTGGCAAATTTTATATCTTTGTTACACTCTTCAGATTTTCGAATCTTTTGACTAAAGGACAGAAGAATGAAAACGTGGCTATTCAAGAAAAAGCTAGAGGGAACAATACGATGGTTCCTTCTTCAGTGGTCAGATCTTCCGTTACAGCAGCAAGAAATTATTGCCCTTTCTATGGTCGTGAACATAGTTGCATTGTGGCTGAGATACAGAGTGTGATCTGCTTTCTGTGCATTCATAGTGAAATCGAATACTGTAGTTTCATTTCAGCCTATATATACATCAAGCAGACAACAACGAAAAAAGTATTTGCATCGAATTTTACTATTATTTTTAATGCATTAATCTGCAGAATCTGCAATAAAAGTACTGGCTCGTGCATGAGTTTGGGCATAACTCATACGTATATTCTTTTTTTTTGTTGTTGTTCACTTAGTTATCATTTTAGTTCCTCTATTAGGGTTTTACTCAAATCTGTCTGGTAATTACTACATTTAAAAATAAATATTTAGGTCTGTGCATGCGCTTCTACTAGTGGCGTGTGCACATGCGGAGTGCACTAGTGGAGTTTAAATGCCTGACTGGCCAAATCAGGGTACTTTGGCCATGATGACCACACTCATCACTGGCCCAATTGGGGCAATTCATATGTTAAAGGTTAACAAATTTTATGGCAGTGACATGTCATATGGTCTCCTTTTGTCATTTAATGAAGTAAAATTTTATATGAATCACCTTACTTTATGTGTAAGCATGTTTCTGCATTTGGAGCAGTAGTGGTGTCTTGTGATATGCAGTTTATAAACATGAAATCTTACATGATGTTTACTTTATTTTTAATTTAATTTATTTTAGTTTTTTCACATCCTGTTGTGTTATTGTGGCACTGGGACTGCTGACACAACAATGAAGTAAATTTTTAGTAAAATGGATTAAAATCAATTAAAATATCAATAGTTTCATCACTTTCATTCTCTCATCCAACCACCACATGATTTGGCTGCATGGACCAATCATCTCATGTTTTGTAAATAAACAAATATATAAAACACATTATTATCAAATTTCAGAGTTATATGGATCCATTTTACAAATGAAAAATTTCCTACTAAACTATTATATTAAGTGATAAAATATAGTCATGATTTAGGGGTGACTATAGATGGGGTATGGACTGGTGAATGAATATAAACGGGTCTATACCCCACAATACATATATGTTTTACAGTATACCACAATTTACATAATTATAACATCAGACTTTATAATAAAATACACGTATTTACTTTATATATACACTACTTCAGTGAACTTCCTGAAAAGCACAAATCCTCCAATAATATATATTACTAATCTATCAATAAATACTCCATTGGACATATGTTTAACCTATTTAACAATTTAAGAAAATCACTGTAATTTATATTTTATCACTTAACACTATTACGAAATATTTCATTGTAAAAATGGATCCATGACAGACACACAGGCACAAAGAGGAAAAATACATACCAAGACAATAAGAGAGAGATGCATAGACACAGGCACACACACACCCAGGGATGAACAAGGGACACGCATGCCCAGAGCGACCGATACACGCTTAGGATTCACATCACATAAAGAAGAATATCCGGAGGGGCAAGGGGCTTCATACAGAGATGGAGAGGCAGACACAGACAAACAGGGAAGAAACACACATAAGGGACACACGCACACACAGAGGCAGATACAGTGAGATGCAGACACGAACATACGTAGAGAAGTAGATTCTAAAGGGTTCTGACAGTGATGTATAACACTCAGAATTACTGGGTTTTCAGTCTTTGTCCATCGTTTTGCAATCTAGAAGCTAGAAACCACAACGTTTTGGAAACTGAATCTGGTTCCATCCTTAGTTGAGAGGGGGAGACACCTACTTTGTTAGGTCCCTTGGAAAGAGCTAACCTCAGTCACTGAACAATTGTGATTGAGGTTAGCTCTTTCTGAAGAACTCAATAGAGTAGGTATCTCCCCCCCTCACCTGAGGATGGAAATAGATCCAGTTTTGGAAACATTGTGGTTTCTAGCTTCTGGAATACCAGACGATGGACAAAGTCTGAAAACCAAGTATATCTGAGTGATACATAGAGACTCAGGGTCAGATACATAAACAGACATGGACACTCACAATAAAACAACCAGGAAGAGGAACAAAGCCACACATAGCACACACATGTACAGAGAAAAAAAATTACAGGCACACAGTGACAGTCCTACACAGTCTCAGCAGCCGATATTAACGGAATGGAGATAATAGTTGCTATGGTCACAAGAGCTCAGCATTGGCCTTGTCCTGAGCCAGTTGAAGCAAATTCACACACTCAAAACATATTTAGTTAATATATGTTTTAATATTATCCTTCTGTCTATATGCAGGCCTTGCAAGTGGCTCTTTCCTTCATGTTTTTTGACCAAAGTTTTGTAAGCAGTTGATACAGAGCCATCAAATAAGCAATCCAAGAAGCTTATACTATGTGCATTTCTTTGTTGCAGGTGTGCAGGCATGCTCTTACCCTGGTACTACTATCAGTGGGCGGATGTCGGCTGTTAAATTCTATTACAAGATTGGGGAAACCATTACATTCACATGTGATGAAGGCTTGGAGTTAAGAGGGGCACCAATGCTGCGATGTCTACGTAATGGGAAGTGGTCTAATGCTATACCAACATGTGCTGCCAACACATCAACTGCAGCAACTACCACAAGATAATGACTTTACAGTGCAAAATGTTCAGAGATGCTCAGCAACATTGGTCTGATCAACGATAAGTGCAACAGAATGTTGAAATGCTCTGCCATTATTGTCTGTTTCATTTAAAGGCTGCTTTATAGTCTCAGTTATAACAAAATCTGGAAGAGCAAACACAAACAATAGGTGATTGTACACCAGAACACTGTAATAGTAAGGTTTGAACAAACAAAAAAACTCTGTGGCTTCAGTCCATAAGCGAACTATACTGACCAAGCGACCACCACTTGTCAGCGAAGTTAGTGCCAACTGTAGCAGATAGAGGGTGTTGCATGGTCAGCACAACGAATCCCCACAACCGTTAATTTCGCTTCTCTAGACCAGAGCTGCTACTTATCCATTCAAGTAGCTCCTCAATTATCCTCACAAGGCTGAGTGGACCCTGTTCCAGACCCATACTTCTCAGAAAATCTGGTAGCGCCGGGAATCAAACGTGGGACCTCTGGATCTGTAGCCAGGAACTCTTAATCACTAGACCACAGAGGCAGTTTGACTGTAAATTAGCTGTTTGCCTGGATGGTAAGACAGACTAATTTCACGATACCATCATGTTCCTCGTCAGACAAACACAATAATATAGTAGCCTCAGAAACATAAAAAGAGGCATTACTTAAGTAATACTGCATGGTGGAGGTGTTAAGTTCTAACATAATCACAAGATACACATGCATAAAAAGAAATTTCCACTTTCCATTAAATGAATATATTTTATGCACACATTTGACCAAGGATGGAATGTAATGATGACTCTTTCATTACCAGTCTCTGAAGACCGCACATACACAACAGGTATTTTCTTGAACATTTAATTAGCAACTGATCTGCAAGAAGTATATTCTTTCCTTCATTCTATAAGGTAACACATGAAATGCCTGCCCATATAAATGTATTACAAAAGTTTTGCTAATCCTACATGAACTTCAGTACAGGACAGGAAGTTGTTCTCAGTACAGAACACATTCAGTATAATCACCATTCTGACTTATGACCTCCTCAATTATGTGTACATGTATGGGTTTTGGTAACTTCCTGAAGTAGGTATTCTGAATTAGTATGGCACAAATGTATGATTAAGGCTCTGTGAGGCCCCTTGTTTCCTTGCATACTGTTTTTCTGCCAAGTCCCAAAGATAAAAATAGCAGATACTGAATGGCCAGACCTTCCCTCAATCATAGCCACCCAGAATATGACAAGAAATCATTTCAGAACCAAAGATTCCATGCAGGAAATTGAGGACCACAGTAGCTGCATGTGGTATGGCTCCAGCTTGCATAAATGACAGCATTAATCTTCAAACCAGTAGTATGCAGTTACGGTATAACATTCTTGTGCATCATGTTCAGATAATCAGTAGAGCTGACTGTCACCAGAAAAAAAATGACAGCAGTTATTTCATAGCTTGATATGGCATCCATCTAATTCTCTCACCATTACTGTAGCTTCCATGAAAATGATGTGGATGTTCATTAGCCCAAAATATAATGTTTTGTCCATTTAGAAATCCAAGTGGAAATAAGCCATGTGAGAAAACCATGTGTTGTGGGGTACAGCCTCTTAATGTCTCACCCAAGTAGCAAAACTCAGTCTCTCTGACATGTTCTCCAAGTCTCTGCATCATGGTAATCTTATATAGAAACATTTACAGATCAGAGTGCAGTATTAACTGAATTGAATATCATGACATCCCCAGTTGCACTGTGACTTCTCTGATTTACTCAGGCTTCACTGTACTGTTACTCTGTCATCAACTTACTTGGGTTCTGTTGTATTGCCAGTCTTGAGAATATCTCTGTTGTTGGGTCTATGGACCCTTTGAGCATGAGGCCACTTCACATTGAGCCCTTTTCTCTGAACTGCCTGGTGAGTCATGTGCACCTATAATCATTAGTTGCACCACTAAATATGCCAGAAACAAGAATGAATATTATTCATCCTTGTGAAAATGAAAAAACTGCAATGGAGCAAATGGACTGAGTTTTGCTAACAGTGATTAATAAAAGGTACTTTATGTTCATAAGGCATATGTTGTTAACACAGCCGAGTATAAGTAACAGTAATGTAGTGCATTCCATATACTTATATGTTGGTACAGGACAGAGCATTGGAAAGTAATCTCCATATTGAAACCTCAGGACTCAAAGCCTGCATCTCCTAGAAAGGCAAAACTGGATGTAGTAAATTAGAGTTAGTTGAGCATCTCTCAGCATTCCTGAATATCTCATGGTTATTTATTAATATATTATAAGTAACTGAATTAATTATGTTTCCAATTTTTTTCTCAGTGTCAACCAATCGTCTTCCAAAATGGTGGGCGTGACTTTAACAAGTCTATGATGGTACAGTGTTGGTGTTTTAATCAAAGTGGAAATTTTGCAAGAGACTGAAGGTTAAATTTATAATTGTCATCTTGGTATATAATTTTAGGAACAAAAAACGCACAATATATCAACGAATATCAATGTTAATGAAAAGTAGCTGCTATGTGCATAGTAGGCATGAATTGAAAATTCCATTCCAAGTACAATTACCATCAATAATAATCAGAATAATAACGAACTCTAATAAACAGTAATAATATAATTGTATAAATTTTATTCTGAGTTGTTAAGACATCACTCATTTTCCTTTCCAAACACACATTCTAAAAGACAACTGTCATTTTGATTTACCAGAATTACTGCACTAGAGATGGATAAAATATATTTTGAAGTGCAAGATAGAATGTCTCTTCCAAAATGGCAAAGAATTAAAAGTAATACAGATGTTTGTAGAAATTAACCCTAAATTTGGAATATTTTCTAACATACACTTACTCTGGTATTTGGTAATAATGGTTGTATAATATAATCTATATATCTGAAATAAGTTATCTGTATAGGCAAATATATTTCATATTTGATATAAAGTCTACAGTGGCAGTTACCAAAGTAAGGGCCCTCAGACATACAGATGAAAGGATGAACACCAAAATACTTTGTTGTGTTTACAATTCTACAGTGAGAAAATGACTGAAAACTTGTTACATAGAATGTCATGAACTGTAGTGTTAGAACTAACAGTTCATATTTATTTCTGTTTTTATAATTCTGTCTCCCACATATTTGCTGCACAGTTTTAAGGAGAGTAGGTATTATGGATGTTTGGATAATGATTGTGATTTGAAAATATGTATTACATACTTTGGTATTACCATGGAATTTATGGCCAGTTTAACTGCAATAAAATGGAGACTGGTGATAGTGGTGAACCTTTATTTGGTTTGTAAGTGTTCACAGGATATAGAGACAAAACAATAAAAGCCTATTTCAATTCAGTTCATTGTTATGGCATTTATTGTCTCAATAATGGGTCAGGTCCACAATGTATGAACCCCAAACTGAAGGTTAGAAATATAGGGCAGGAAGGGTGCTCATACAAATCCCAAGAATAATTGTACGACTGTATGCTTTAAAGAAATCTGCTAGGCCTTCACATTTGGTGACTGGAGTTTCATAACTATGTCACACAGTTTGCCTTATACTGCCTGTTATGTTCACTTTGGATTCTTTCTTGTTCTATATCATCATTTTAACAGATTGCCAGGCAACAGCTATGTAAACAAGGTCCAACATGCAACAATAGAGGAAGTTGTGTCTTCTGTAGATCCAACTGATGCTCCAATAGACTGGCTGGATAGCAATCACGTGATGTGTTTACTGTAGGTCCATATCCGTTCAGCGGCTATATAACAACACCCGCAGCTGTAAGTTCAGTGCGAACTGGAACTAGGAATACAGAAAAGTACAATAAGGCAGCCTGTGAAGACTTCATGTGTGCTGTAGTGCAGTGATATCTGGAGTGTGGCAGTTATAGTTTCTGTGCAAAAAAAAAATCCTTTGCCAGGAAACAGACAGGGAAATCTTTGCTGAGGAATAGTCATTGTTTAGATCTGGTACGTAGCAACGACTAATGTAGGCAGATACAGAATACTATATTTATGTGTTATAATTATTTGTAGTCACAATCTGTAAGTATTCAAGAAATCCAATTACTAATCCAAACCCCGTGTTTCGTCACTGTGACGTGTGACATATTTTGATATCCCACACTTTACAACTCAAATTCTGCTTTCTAAATTTTAATTTTTATTAATTTTTCTTTATTCTCAGTTAGTTCTCTCAAGTTATGTTATTTCCATCAGTTACAGGCCATTGTGATTCCTTTCTGTACTGGAGCATCTTTCCTTAAAAGAACGCTGTAGCAAACTACGTGGTACAAGATTCCTCTTTAGCAGTTCACAATTATTCACTTGTTATGGAATCCAAAAGTGTGTTGTTATTACCACCAAAGCCTGCAAATGGACTCTGTCTTGAGTAAGTTCATTCCATATCACTACAATCTCTTTCTCCATGATCTATATGAACAGATATTACTCTACCATCTGTGTACGTCTAAGTCTCCCAAATCCTTTCCAATGAGGCTTCTTTTACTCCATATGTGTGTGTTACATGCTCACCAATATAACCTTCTTGGTCAAACTTATCATTATGGCATTTTTCACTCTCTTGTTACTTCTGCTCTTAAGTTTAAATCATTCCTCCCAGGCATTCTCTCTCTCTCCCTCCCTCAAAGTAAATGAGCAAGTTTCACATCCATGTATATAACAAGTAAATTTACAGCATGATAACCCACATAACCTAGCACAGTTCAAGGCAATTAAAAGAATAGAAGAACCTTACAGAGGAGTAGCAAATTAAAAAAATCATTGGGTATACAAGTTATGATGGCCAATTAGGCCAAAACACAATAAAAAGATGAGGAAATATTAACTGAAGTTGCATATAGACAGCAAGAAGTGGAACACAAAGTTTTACATCCTGTAACTTTGGGGTAGTATCTCGGACCTGTGTTTGTTCCACAGCAGACTGACTTGCTCAAAGTGTGCCAGAGGGGATCCTTTCATGAGCTTCTGGTTGCAACGAGTAGCATTCAGGACCCTCTTGGTTACTTCCCAGCAGTTCCCGACCTTAGCCCTGGCTATGTAACCCTACGGGTGGACAGGACCCCAGACTTGGCCTTACAAGGCCATTTTCCACTCCAAGGGGGTTCTCCAATCAAGTCATCACAACTCCCTTGCATTGTGCAGGTATCACCTGATCACTGGACACTACTAGGCTGGAAGGCTCGGACTCTACAGCGATACCTCTTCCTCTGCAAGACACAGCGTTTGGTGCCCTAGGGCCACAGATATATCATGT